TAGGTGTGTCTTTCTGCGTGTCTCTCTCTCTGTGCCACTTTGTGTGTATGTTTCTGTGTGTAGGTGTGTCTTTCTGTGTGTCTCTCTCTCTGTGTCACTTTGTGTGTATGTTTCTGTGTGTAGGTGTGTCTTTCTGCGTGTGTCTCTCTCTCTGTGTCACTTTGTGTGTGTGTTTCTGTGTGTAGGTGTGTCTTTCTGTGTGTCTCTCTCTCTCTGTGTCACTTTGTGTGTATGTTTCTGTGTGTAGGTGTGTCTTTCTGCGTGTGTCTCTCTCTCTGTGCCACTTTGTGTGTATGTTTCTGTGTGTAGGTGTGTCTTTCTGTGTGTCTCTCTCTCTGTGTCACTTTGTGTGTATGTTTCTGTGTGTAGGTGTGTCTTTCTGCGTGTGTCTCTCTCTCTGTGTCACTTTGTGTGTGTGTTTCTGTGTGTAGGTGTGTCTTTCTGTGTGTCTCTCTCTCTGTGTCACTTTGTGTGTATGTTTCTGTGTGTAGATGTGTCTTTCTGTGTGTCTCTCTCTCTGTGCCACTTTGTGTGTATGTTTCTGTGTGTAGGTGTGTCTTTCTGTGTGTCTCTCTCTCTCTGTGTCACTTTGTGTGTATGTTTCTGTGTGTAGGTGTCTTTCTGTGTCTCTCTCTCTCTGGGTGTGTCCCTCTGTGTGTGTCACTTTATGTGTCTCTCTCTGTGTGTGTCTCTCTCCTTCCCTCGATGTGGTGTCGTTTCATCTTCTTGGTTCTTTCGGTAAAGTCACGTAGAATGAGAATAAAACAATAAAACAAAATAAGACAAAATTGTCACGACGTTTCGGCCACAACACAAGTAGCCTTCTTCAGGTGCTTATAAGGCAGCTAAAGTTTGACATACAACCCACTGAGAGATGGAAATGGCTGTACAATTATAAGGCAGCTAAAGTTTGACATACAACCCACTGAGAGATGGAAATGGCTGTACAATTATAAGGCAGCTAAAGTTTGACATACAACCCACTGAGAGATGGAAATGGATGTACAATTATAAGGCAGCTAAAGTTTGACATACAACCCACTGAGAGATGGAAATGGCTGTACAATTATAAGGCAGCTAAAGTTTGAAATACAACCCACTGAGAGATGGAAATGGCTGTACAATTATAAAGCAGCTAAAGTTTGAAATACAACCCACTGAGAGATGGAAATGGCTGTACAATTATAAGGCAGCTAAAGTTTGACATACAACCCACTGAGAGATGGAAATGGCTGTACAATTATAAGGCAGCTAAAGTTTGACATACAACCCACTGAGAGATGGAAATGGCTGTACAATTATAAGGCAGCTAAAGTTTGACATACAACCCACTGAGAGATGGAAATGGCTGTACAATTATAAGGCAGCTAAAGTTTGACATACAACCCACTGAGATATGGAAATGGCTGTACAATTATAAAGCAGCTAAAGTTTGAAATACAACCCACTGAGAGATGGAAATGGCTGTACAATTATAAGGCAGCTAAAGTTTGACATACAACCCACTGAGAGATGGAAATGGCTGTCCAATTATAAGGCAGCTAAAGTTTGACATACAACCCACTGAGAGATGGAAATGGCTGTACAGTTATAAGGCAGCTAACCTTTGACTTGATTTATAACATCTTTCCAATGGTTGCTCAATTTGAAACCATCCTCTCGGTTGAAGTTGTGTCTATGTTTGTATATCTGGATGGCTTCATGGACAAATCTTTGGTCATAACCGGGAGGTTTGCAGAGAACTTTGGTATCGGAGAAAACAATGTCATGAGAACCCGCTGTGTTGAAACAATGATCAGCCACGGCCAAAGAATTCGTTCTGCCGTGTTTCAAATCTGATTTGTGCTCGCGGATTCGGTCATAAATATGTCGTTTCGTCTCCCCGATATAGCAGTCACCGCAGGTACAACTCAATTTGTAAACACCGGGGTACTGTCAGTCAGTATGGTAGGAGAAACAGCTTGGCTTAACTCAGCCCTCCCCCCCACCCACGTCCCTTTCTGGCTCCTCCCCCCCTTTAACCTGTATATAATCCCGGCTGTCTCAGAGCTGTCCACTTGACACAGATATTCTGCTGTGACTATTCCACCTGAAGACAGAAGCTTGTGTTGCCTCCGAAACGTCGTGATTTAATTTAGTTGTTTTATTTTACCTACGTGACTTTACCGAAAAAACCAAAGAGTATGAATCCTTGCAGTCACGAAAGCTTCAAATATGTACCATACTAGTAATGGAAGAACTCCACGACTCCAGGAAGTGGCCCCGAAGCTTGCCATGACGTAAGGGGGCCGTGGTGATTTACAGCCAATGTCAGTTGACCGTGGACAATTAGACTCAAGCCGAAACATAACGTGAAAAATAATTTTGATTGAAAGCGTTCATGACTGCAGGGATTGATGTCCTTGGTTCTTTCGGTAAAGTCACGTAGAAGGGAAACAATTAAATAAAAATAAAATATATAAAACAATTAAATTCTCACCACAGCAAGAAAATTTTCTTGCACAGCAAGAAAATTAAAAATATATATGTTTAAACATTCTTTTTTATATTCTTGGTTCTTTCGGTAAAGTCACGTAGAAGGGAAACAATACAATAATAAAAAATAATAAAAATATACAACAATAAAATTCTCACGACGTTATATTTTCTTGCTGTGGTTTTCACACCTGATGATGATTGCTTGTGTTGCAGTCGAAACGTCGTGAAAATTGTATTGTTTTATATATTTTTTATTTTTTATTATTTTATTGTTTCCCTTCTACGTGACTTTACCGAAATAACCAAGAATATAAAAAAGAATGTTTAAAAATATATATATTTTTTATTTTTAATGATAGAATATAGTATTGTCACCAGTATGACATAAGTATACCAAGTTTGCAGTCGATACCACATTGCGAAGTGGGTAAAAATTGAGTTACAAGATTTGAGGATACAACAACAGACAGTGAGTTAATGTAATAATAAAAAAGTAAAAACAGAGCAATGTAATACAATACACTATTAGACATTGCCAAAAATAAATAAAAAGTCCATCCCATGTGTTAGTGATTTTTTAAAATATATTTTAGGCAGGAAATAAGTTTTCAAATTTAGATATTTTTTCTGGGTTGGGACCCCCAGACACCCTGGAAGATTTGGTCCCCCCCAATGGTGACTCCATTGCTACGGCATTGATATATAAGGACTTGTTTTAGCAGCCTGTTTCTCTATCCCACCTGAGGACGATCGCTTGTGTGGCGATCGAAAACGTCGTGATCTATTATTATTTTCTACGTGACTTTACCGAAAGAACCAAAGAGTATGAATCAGAATGTTAATAATTATTTAGACTGGAAGAATCCGACGAGCTACAAAGCTTTTTTTTCACAAATGTCCAGTAGGAGCAGGTCACAAAGTTACAACAACAAACACAATAGGAGTGAAAAATAAAGGAAAGCTAAGGCACTACATCTAAATACAAATAAATAAAGCATAGGAGTACAACTTGCACAAGTAAATCAATTCCTGGCGATTTTTCAAGACCAAATGCAATCTTGGGCAAGGCAGCAAAACAACGGCAGTCTCAGACCACGCCAAGACAACGACACAGTCCCTCAATAAAATAGCACATCAAAATTCAACTATCGATATACGGGTAAGGATCAAAGTCACGCACATCACATTTGCAAAAGCGGTTGTAACCAGCACTCGTCTTCTGCTTCAGAATATTTGTTGAGGGAAGATTTACGATGTTAAATGGGAGAGAAACAATGGTCGTTCCAAAACGTTGGGGCTGCAATGGCAAAGGGCTTTGTCGCCTATTCCTATTCCTGTTGTTTGCCGGCCGAGTCACCATTGGAAATGACCTCCATGGGAAATAAACTTCCGATTCAGATTTTAACGATAGGGAAACTAACTTCTTTCAGTTTAATATTGGTGGCTTTCGCGACCAATATTATCTATAATAGTTTTTTGTTGGGTTAGGTCGCCTAGATATAAATGTGTCGTTAAACCTGCCACCACCCGACACAGCCAATTAGCCAGTCTTGTCACATAAACAAAGCATGCCAATTTGTTACTAGTTCAGTCCATCGGTGTGCTGGAGAGTAAACCCACATTAACAATTTGATTACCGTGGCGTTTCACCGGTAACTACCACAATCATCATCATTTGCATGTGGCTCGCATAATCGATGCGCTGCAGGGCCAGGACAGAGTAGTAAGACACAGGGCAAGCTGACCCAGCTAAAGCTGCTCATGGCAATCACCCAAATAATTTCAATGCACTTCAGGAAATGCTGATCGTTATTTTGCATTGGCTGTGCGCTGTGAAAGACACACAAGGCTGTCTACACATTTTCGCGTCTTGTTTGAAAACATCTTCCAGCTTGGCTGCGTATGGCATGAAAGAAGTTCAATGTACTTATTATCGTGTTGTATTCGTTTGCATCATCATTTGTTTGCAGTTACTGACTGAGACAAAGGAAGTTCATGAAACACACAAGATTGTGAATGCTTAGTGGGGGTTTTATATGTTGTAAAATAAGTGTGCATGAAACAAATTTAAGTATATATGCTTAGTTTTTTCGGTAAAGTCACGTTGAAGAGAAACAACAAAATAATAAAATATATATAAAACAATAAAAATATATATTATTTTGTTGTTTCTCTTCAACGTGACTTTACCGAAAAAACTAAGAATATGAATTACTGCAGTCACGAAAGCTTCAAATCAAAATTTAAGTATGTTAACAATTTGGCTAGATTATTATTATTTCAGTTCTTCCGCCATGTACACAAACAAAAACGTTGTCAGTACAGGCCCGGGCAGTCTAGACATGAATTTTAAAAAGTTTTATGTGCATATGCATAATTCAGATACCACAAACACTACAACAATCAATACTGAAATTGCAATTTTATTGCATTCAAATATTAACTATTGTACATTTAATTAAAAAAAGGTGCGTTTGGGTTGTAGTTTGTGTTACCGTGGGGACAGTGTGTACACTTCTCACCTTCAAGCCTCTTGGGCCTGCTTTTCCAGGATCTCCACCGACTCCAGGCGTCCCAGGAACACCCTTGCATCGACAAGACACAGACGGACACGTGCACATAAACCACTTGCGAACGTGCGCCTTAGCGATAGAAATGTCAGTTAATAAAGCTCAACATCTGCAATAACAATTACATTATAAAAGATGACTTCCACATGTTTATGCATTTTATATATTCCATGTTGCGAAAGCACTACATGCTGTGACTGCAATACAGCTCACGAGGCAGGCGTCACAGAATAGCATTCTTACTGGCACATTGGGCTTCCAGGCATTGCTTATTTACATATCGTGTCCACATATCAATTGTCAATAATGTCTAAACTGGATGTCACCTGGCTTCGGTAGAAGAAAAACACAGCAAGAATAACCACGACACCGACTTAGATTTTTCTTGCCATTATTTTACAATGTAAGCATATCACTCAATCTAATCTAAACAAATATTTACATGAATAACAATACTCACGTCACAGGAACAAGTACATAACTGGTGTTCAATGCCTCGTATGGGTGTTGCGAGTTAGTAAACCTAACACGTCCGCCGGGAGCCGTGTAAGACTGCGAATGTGTCTGGGATGATTGGCAAGCGTGGCGATGATACGCACATTGGGACCACGGAATCCGGGGTCCCCTCTCTTGCCAGGAGGTCCAGGATTACCCTGGGCTCCCTGCAAAGAGAAGACATTTTTAGACATGAAATACTCATTCTTGGTTCTTTCGGTAAAGTCACGTAGAAGGGAAACAATAAAATAATAAAAATATAAAACAATTAAATTCTCAGAATTTTATTGTTTTATATTTTTTTAGATTTTTTTATTTTATTGTTTCTCTTCTATGTGACTTTACCGAAAGAACCTAGAATATGAATTCCTGCAGTCACGAAAGCTTTAAATCAAAATAAAATACTCACTTGGATTGTTAGCTGCCCTTCACATTTTTAACGTAGCCTCCCTTGTTAATACGAGCTTTGAGTTTAATTCACAGTTTTGCGACCATCCCCGGTGCAAATGAAGTGTTCATCCAGTTAACTGAGAATAATGCTTCGAAGAATTTTTCACGTTCAAGGAGCAAGTCTCACTCTCGATAGATCTCGTTTCCAACTCAGCTGGTCCCTGATTCTTCGAGCAGTCCGCGTGTTTTTCCGATAGACTTGACACCATTGCAATGGAAACATGTCACTGAATTCCACTACTACACATGGATGTAAACTTTTATCACTACTAAACTCACTACAAAAAGTTCAGTGCTTAATATCCTAGATACACAACCGAGGCTGTGTCCTGAGCTGTCACGCATGAAATTTGAAGCTTCTTTACAATAAATACAACAAATCATTCGGTGATGCTGCTGCATTGACGGTGATGCACAAGCACAAAGAACAAAACAAACCCCTCACATTCATCAACAACAACAACAACACTGTGGCCTTAAAAGGAAAAGTAAATACGAAGGTGACATTCGGGGCAATGGCCCTCTTTCACAGTACACAGAGAGTGAGAGAGACGCCACAGCGGTGTCGTGGAAAAGAGATGGAGACAGCCCTTTATACATTTTTATCCATGGCTCGGCTCAGGCTAGGTTTTGGCTCAAGTGAGCCATGGCTCAGAGCCACCGTGGCGCTTAACTCGAGCCAGCTCAGGGCAAGGTCACCAGTCGCGCTCAGGATTCCCAGGAGGCTGAGCCTGAGCCAGGCCATGGCCGGGCCGCTCGCTCGTGCGACTTTGAAACCACCGAGCGTCTCAAGCCTGAGCTGAGGCTGAGCGTTGGGAGGCCGAGCCAGAGCTGAGCTGTCACTGAGAACACCCCCCCCCCCCCTAAGCTGCATGCCTGACTTTTAAAACATGTTGCTATCCCACACCTGAATCATTGCAATCAACTCTTCACTCTTGTGATAGAAAAGGCTGCCCAGGATAACCCTTCTCAACTCTGTCTTCAATTCATCGCGTTTTGATTATTCACACACCCAAGGGTGCAAGCTAACCAATTGCATTTGTCTACATCGCTAAAGTGGATGGAGTTGCGCTGTCATTAACCTTCTCTATTTGTTTTCATTAGCTAAACAAACATATATAAAACAAATGTATTCAGAATCATTTAAAGAAAACAGCACATCACCATCACCAGACGACCATGTGGCATGCAGGGTTTTGTGTCTTTTCAGCGTTCTCCCCTCCCAGACAGCCTTTTTGTCGAACCCCAAGTTCTGTCTAACTCCTAATTCTGTCTAACCCCCAATCCTTTCTCACCCCTAATTATGTCTAACCACTCATTCTGACTAACCTATCATGTTGTCTAACTCCCAATTAAGGTCCAACCCCTAATTATGGCTTACTCGAGTCCAGCTACGAGAGGATTTTTGTTTACACTGCAGGTTGTGCTCTTCAATTTTTTATTGGATGGTTCATCTGCTGTTTGCTCAAGAAGATACCAAGATAATGCGATATTAACCTGTGTAACATATGCATGCTTGCCACGAGAGTGCTTCAAGAGAAAGGTCGTGTCGTTTTTTTCTATGCCTCCATTGAGGAATAGCAAAAGTCATCCGTTGAGGAACAGCAAACTTACACAAACTCTGTTTAACACGTCGGCTTTCACGACCAATTTTATTTATAATCACGGTTTTTAATGGGTTTGATTGCTTAAATATAAATGTGTTCTTAACCCACCACCACCTGACAGCCAATTCATTATAATTTGATTGTAAATGTTGTAGGTTTACTCTCCAACACATCGGTGTGCTGAACTAGTAACTAATTGGCAAGTTTTGTTTCGGCGATAAACCGTACTAATTGGCTCTCTCCTGAAGCCCTCTCGTGGCTAGCAGACCTTGACGTTGGCATTTCGCTCCTGGTTATATTGCCATAGGCAAGAATATAACATAATGTAAAGGGTAAGTGCATGGGTGCTGGAGTGCACACGAGCCCAGGGAGTAGTTGTTCCCGGGTAGAAGCTGCGTGCTACAAGAGAGGACGGTGCATTGCACAGGAGCAGTGGCATTACCTGCACGCCGACAGTTCCCCTCATGCCCGGCAAGCCTGCTCCTCCCTGATCCCCACGTCCGCCCTGCAGCGCACACAAATTCATTGCGAAGTCTACGTGTGGGTTTCTGAAAAGCTGGCACACTCGTTGAAACATTATTGCGGGAAATGCAGCGATTTTATTATTTAAATAATAATTTCCAACGTTTGCGACAATCCACTGTTGGATCAAGGCCTTCTCGGTCCTTTCAGTCGTGGGGCCTGTTTGATCATAAATAGTCATGGAGTTGGCCACACAACCCAATATAGGGCCATAGAGCTTGGGCAAATGTTGGCACCGGTGGCAAGATGTTAACTACCTTGCCTTGTATACAGGTCGTGTGAATTTTTCTCCGGGTCCTCCGGCTTTTCCCTCCACATTTATAAACATGTGTTTAGAGTATTTGGCTGCTATAAAATCCACATAACCTAATTGGTTGAGCTGTCATTTGTGTCTAGGTCGCTTCTGAAAAAGAGCTATAAAGCTCAGTGGGCCTTACCTGGTAACGTACCAATTTTTAAACAGTTTTGGCTGCCTTACACATCTGAATCATTCTCGCTCGCTGTGAGAGTGACCGTTACAATTTGCGAATTAAAATTATCATACTTCACCACACTGGTCAGTGGGTTCGTGAAGGCAGGGGGAGTGGGGAAGGGGTAGCGAGACCCCCTTGAGACATTCACTCTGCAACCGGTGTCGAGATGTAACGCATCTCCCACGCAAAGATCGGGGGTCAGTCGTGTAATTTAATCCCGTCGTAATTAAAGCGCACTATAAAAACTCTGATATGAATAGATAAGTGAATGGTAATTATTTTATACCGCAGCATTCGTGCAAGCTGAATCTCAAACGGTGAATATCGCAAACCCACGTTAGCGTAGAAAAATGATCCCAAGACACACGACAGTGACACAACACGAGCACCGGCGAGGGTACGGAGGTGAGCGCAACCCCAACCACGCTGGGTGGCTCTGTGCAACGTTTAAGCTCCTGACATCAGCGAATGTCCAGAGAATAATAATATCTTAATAGCAGCATGTGAATGGTAACGAATAATCGGTTTACCTTTTCTCCTGGTGGACCCCGCATTCCTTTAAGACCCTGAGTAAAACATTGACATTTTATTAGAACATATTACGTGAAATATATTTAATGTAGTAAACTTCTTGAATAAAAATAGCATGTTCATGTTTAGGAATTGTCTGCACACAAAGCGTATAATCCCCAACGCCAATCCTAAATACATTTTATCCAATCACATTGGCAATTATCACTTGAGAAGCTTCTCGAGTGATACTTCCGTGTATACCCGCAAAGGGCCAAAACTAACCCCGCGATAACTAAATAGATGTACAGAGAGAGCGAGCTGCAGCAAGCAACTTTGGTAGCTATTTGGTTTATGCTTTGCATCTTCCTTTAAAATGTTTGTAGCCATTTCAAAGGTGTTAAATTGGAGGTGAGATGTTGAAGATAAGAGGATATTGTGGGTTCAGGAGCTTGTGAGAAATAGCTCAAGAAATATCATAATTAAGAGAATGTGTTTTGATGGACTGCATAAACCACTTTGGAAGATTTGGGGGTTAGACAACTCTGGTGGCATGTTTGAAATGCAAAGTTATGCAGAAAACAATTATACATGGACAGTATTGTGGCATGAAGACGTGTCACTCACCACTGATGCAGCATCACCGGGTTGTCCATCTGATCCATTCTTGCCAATATCACCCTGCGCGTGCATTCACAGTGCAACTCAACGTAAGAAACATCGGATGGGGCACCGACACGGCCCAGCGGTGGCGCACTCACCCGCTTGCTGTTCGCGGTTGAAATCCGGCAGGCCGCCCTGGTCACTACTTTGGTGCATCTTTACCGTAAAATGTGTGCCGTCTGCTCTACGGCGGACGTAAAAAAAATTCCTGTAACGTCATTGGAAAGAGTAGGCCATCGTGTGCCAGGGTCAAGGTTCAAACTTTGAATATTACACCGCACATTACTCGGTTAGGATCATGCAGAGCAATTATCGCCTCCCCACTGCTGGCAAACTGATGCCTCAGGCCAGGTGCTGAGTCACCTTGTGCCCACAGGGACAGCTGCCCATGGGGGGTTGGTGCCCTTTCACACGTGTGAGATGAGATGCAAGTCACTTATCTTGAGTAAAATGCCAAGAGGTGAACAGGTATCGTTATTAACTCTAATAAAAATAAATGTTCTTACCTGAGGTCCCGGGTATCCGATCTCACCGTTTGGACCTTGCTTATTGTTCGCCACTCCAGGCTCACCCTACGGACACCAAAATCCCGGAGGGAAAAATGAACATTCCGACAATGCCGCCACCGCCGCTCCCGAGTGACGGCGCACCTTGCAGTGCCGAGGGTGCACTGCAGAACCTGGGGACTCTCAGCAAGGTGACGGTCAGGGACAAACGCCAACTTTATTTTTCACGTCTGTGATTCAGTAACTTGCTCATGCTTATCTCATCTTCCAATTTTATATTTATAGAGCACCCTTAACTCACAGCGCTCAATAACAAAGTATAAAAGCGATAACAAAAATCGAGTGATTTTGATGACAAGGGCAGTGCAAGGGCCTAGGAATTAATGACCGTAACAGGGGGCACGTGGGGTCATGAAAGGGCTAGAGGGGAGGGATGGGATGGAGTGGAGTGACGAGGGCAGGGAAGAGGAAGGGAATGGGTGATGGGCAAGAGGTGACGCTTAAAGAGAGGTATGGAAGGAGGTTAAGGAGGGGGACTGCTTCATGTACAGGGGTAGTGTTGAGTCTATGGACAGTGTTGAATCCATGGGCAGTGTTGAGTCTATGAGCTGTGTTGAGTCTATAGGCAGTATTGAGTCTATGGGCAGTGTTGAGTATGTAGTGGATTAACACGTGCATACAGGGTGGATGGTAAAGACGCGCGAGTTATGGACAGTGGGGTCATGTCGGGCTGGGCAGGTGCGGCAACGGGGAACGGTGAGAGAGAAACGGCCAAATTAAGTTGGTGCAATATATGGCTGTGATTGGCCGGGTGTTGTTGTCAGGAGCAGAGTGGCGCCTAAGTGTCTGGAGATGGGGGGGGGGGGTGATAGGGACAGGTGCGAGGGACACGAGGCGTCGTGGGCACGCCGCCTAATTAATTGGTAGTTGATGGGAACGGAGATATATTCGGGGGACGGGAGAGCGGAGTTGTTGTTGTCGCTGGGACTGGAACGGAGCAGGTCGGGGAGAGACGGAAAGAAGACATAAGAGACAGAACAGGCTAGCAGTGGAGTAGAGACAAGGAGATACAAGACAGAGACAAGCAGAGACAAGGAGCAACAGAGAGAGACAGACAAGGAGAGACAAGACAGAGACAAGCAGACACAAGGAGCGACAGAGACAGATAGAGACAAGGAGAGACAAGACAGAGACAAGACAGAGACAGGGAGAGAGATGGAGACGAGAGAGAGATAGAGACAAGACAGAGACAAGGAGAGACAGGGAGAGATACAGAGTGGGACACAGACAGAGTGAGACAGAGGCAGAGCGAGAGAGAGATATGGAGTGGGACAGAGACGGAGTGAGACAGAGACAGAGCGAGAGAGAGATACAGAGTGGGACAGAGATAGAGTGAGACGGAGAGACAGAGTGAGACGGAGAGACAGAGTGAGATGGAGAGACAGAGTGAGACGGAGAGACAGAGTGAGACGGAGAGACGGAGTGAGACGGAGAGACGGAGTGAGACAGCGAGCGACGGAGAGAGATAGCGAGCGACGGAGAGAGACAGCGAGCGACGGAGAGAGACAGCGAGCGAAGGAGAGAGACAGCGAGCGATGGAGAGAGACAGCGAGCGACGGAGAGAGACAGCGAGCGACGGAGAGAGACAGCGAGCGACGGAGAGAGACAGCGAGCGACGTAGAGAGGCAGCGAGCGACGGAGAGAGACAGCGAGCGACGTAGAGAGACAGCGAGCAATGGAGAGAGACAGCGAGCTACGGAGAGAGACAGCGAGAGACAGCGAGCGACAGAGAGAGACAGCGAGCGACAGAGAGAGACAGCGAGCGACGGAGAGAGACAGCGAGCGACAGAGAGAGACAGCGAGCGACGGAGAGAGACAGCGAGCGACGGAGAGAGACAGAGACAGCGACGGAGAGAGACAGAGGGCGACGGAGGGAGACAGAGACAACGGGCGACGAAGGGAGAGACAGAGACGACGCGGAGAGACTGAGAGAGGGAAGGGAGCGCGGCGAGCGAGCAGAGAAATGATGAATCCACAGGGGTAATGTGGAGAGTTTGTAATAAAAGTTGTGTCGGAGAAAAGAAGAAGTTGTCCGTGTGAAGTCGACCACTACAAGTATATGGACAGTGTTGAGTCTACAGGCAGTCTATGGGCTGTGTTGAGTCGATGAGCAGTATTGAATCCATGGGCAGTGTTGTGTCCATGGGCAGTGTTGAGTCTATGGGCAGTTTTGAGTCTATGAGCAGTGTTTTCCTCACGGCATCTCCTCGGAATCCCGGGTGACCCCGCGCTCCATCATCTCCTGTAGGTCCTTGTGATCCCTGCGGTGGGGATTGGGAAGCGGAGACGACATTGCCACATTTACTGACTGGCAAAGTCCATTCAATGATAAAAAAACGGACCATTCAATAACGTTCAAGGTAATCTCGATGTCGTCGGAATGAGATGGCAGCATTGTCTTACCGCTCCTCCCATACTGCCTTTGATTCCAGGAACTCCAGGGAACCCTCGCTCCCCCTGAAAAGGTGCAACGTGGAGGTCTCGTTATGCATGGGCAGGAGGGGGGCCCACCACAGTGGCGAATGACAGAGCCCCAAATAAAGAGCGACTCTGTTGCGTAGCTTAGCTGTGAGTCTCTGGGTGAGAAGAAGTTACTTTTGACATGTTATGATCATGACAAGGTGCGCTCTGTTGGCATCATACAACATCGCGCCTGAGCGTTCTAATCGATCGCTGCAATGATGTCACTAGGATGCTCCTGCCTATGATTATAAATGCAGGTCTAAGGCATTAATGCATGAGCTATGTTTGTATGTAGTCGAGGGTCACTGTAACCCTCTTAAAAGGAAATCCAGTCAGAGCAAAATATGTTATAATGAATTTATATTAAGCCGATTTTTATATTCTGTTACTATCCATCTTCCTCATCCGAGCCATATCAGATAGTCGCGCACTCATTATAAAAAAGTAATACTTCTAAGGACAAACCCCCATTGGACATTGTGATGAATCGCATGAACGTGCATGATTATTTTATCCTGGCTTTGAGAAAAAAATTCAAGTTTCCCATCAAACAGTTTGCATGTTTTGCCATTGGTAAAACATGCAAACTGTTTGATGGTAAAGCTGATTCTTACTTCATAATTTTCATCCTGGCAAAAAGGTCCCATAGATATAACTGCTCAACTCGAGCTATGAATGCTCTGATATTCGCACTGCCTTTGTATGGTTCACCTTTTGGCATTCTCTGGCCTGACACTAGTGAGACAAGGCGCGTTTGTTTGCATGTTTTGCCACAAGAATGTGCGGTTAATGCAAATTTGATGCCTTGCAATAGGTGTCTTATTTGGTGTTTGAACATCTTAACACTCCCGTATTAATTCCAGAAAGGGCAAAGCCTATTCTTGCATGCATTTTTACATTTTTCTTCATCGCCACGAGATAATATTGTTGCACCTTCGTTGAATACGGCTCGAGCACGTTCAAGAAACACCTGTAATGGTGCACGTGGTGTGCTGCTAAGACTTACGTCTTGGCCATTAATCCCATCCAACGCATGCTCACCTGGTGTTCCCTGTCAAACAAAACAAAGCGGTGAGGTGGAGGTTCTCATTTCACAAAGCCTCATGCATACAAGTAAGATCGTTTTATATTTGTAGATAAAGAGCGTGGCTATTATACTTTTGGGAAAGCCAACGTGCTTGTTTAAGCCATTGTTGTTGACTTGCCCATGATAAATTCCATAAAATTACTTGCAATTACATTCAAAACGATATACGGTATGTATATGCCATTTCCTGTAGTTTACTATTCTCCTCTGTGAGGAGGCAACTAAACATTATCTACAATACTGTACGGTACCATATTCTCGGCATTATAAGATGCAATAAAAAGTTGGAGGTGCGTATAAAACCCAGTGTATGTGTGTGTGCGAGACCAGACTTGGTGGGGAGTGGAAGTAGTGTATCGGATAGTACGCTGCACTACAAACCCAGCGACCAGAGTTCGAATCCCGCTCATAGCCATCACCTGTGACGATTATCTGAACCGGTCCTGGGCTTCCCTTAGGTCGACTCAGCCTTAATTGAGTACCTCGTGCGATGTGTAAAAACACTGCCACTTGGGAGACAAATTCAGCCGGGCGTGTTTCTGGCCACCCACCCCGTCATGTGCCGTTCCGGCCTTCATAGGTGCTCGCCAACAGCACTTGCCACAACAGTCTGGGGTATCTTAGTCTTTGTTTGATTAGACTTGAATAACTTTATTTCCTCCACAGAGGCAATTAAAACATAACATTCTCCAGACTCTTTCTTCCCAGCATCCAATCTATATTTGTATGACTTCGTATTTTATATCCTCCAATCCGACTTTCCCAAGATGTCTGTCACATTTCCTGAAATATTATTCTATTCAAAATGACAACAAACATTGTGATGCGTCTTACCTTCCGGAGCGTCTTATAATGAAGAGTATATGGTCACATGATTTAAAAAGTGGAATTTGTATTTCCAGCAGATGCTGTGTACCAGGGCTCGGTCGCACAGTATCTGTGCAAACATCTTTAACGTGAGACGGGGATTTCTTTTCCCCCAGCAATTCACTTTTTTGACGTGCAATGATTTATTACATTTAAATTCATATCATTGAGGGAGCAGTGGTAACGTTGTGAAACGGTTTTAAAAAATCTGTAGAATTTCTGATACGGTTACAATAACCTGTACATAGTCATATCCTGCATTTAAGATGTAATAGGTACAACGAAGGCTTTCACGACCAATATCATCCATAATCGTTTTTTGGGGTTAAATCTAATGCAAAAAAACCTGTATTATGGATTTTACAGCGTATTTTGGGTTAGATCTAAACCACAAAAAAAACCTGTATTATGGATTAGTACAACGAGTTTTACTTCCAAAATACGCTCTAAGATGACAGGGAGGACACGAAAGATTGATGTATCGCTTCTTCCCACTTAAAAACAGTGTTTAATGACTCCAAGAATATACTCATGAGAACGTGATGGGTTTACGCCATCAACACTGTTAATACTGGTGATCCTTACCAACTGTCCTGACGTCCCTGGTGAACCCTGAAAAAGAAACGAGGGCATTATTTCACTTCTCACCACAAGCAATGCTATGGACCGATTATCAAGGGCACCCATTTAAGCTTTACGGTTGCACATTTCTGCAAGATGTAACATTTCCAAACATAACCTCACCCCCAGCGTCAGCATAGCAACGGCAGGATACCGCACGAAACATATAGCTTGTGCACACACATGAGCACGATTGTTACCATAACACAACCTCTCCATCGCCACTCAGACTTTAATTATCGCTGAAACTAATCTCAACACACGGCAAGCCAGTGTCACAGAGCAGTGCCGTGCCGTGGCTCCGGTGGAGAAAGGTGCCGAGCCCCGTCTCGGGTTTTATAATTCTGTGGCACCGGCAGCTGATGAATGTGAGGGCAATGCTTAATGCACTCATTACAAGTATAATGAGCGACTTCCACGACACGTCGTGTAGAGGGTACTCTTCTTTATTCCACGTACGGCACGGCACAGGCCGAAGTTATCGGCTTCCTCTCCAAGTACACACTTAGATATTACATTCTACAGACTACACACACGGCCGATCACACGACGGGTTCTGCCCGTCCGCTCCCGGTCTCGCCGCTGGCTGACGCCGTGCCGGGGAGGGTGGTGGAGCTCCGCCAGAGATCCGCCACGTGGCCGAACGATGGAGAGAGATGACGGCGAGCAGCGACGCAGTCTGAACCCAAGACTTCACACACCGACCCGGAGTCCTCCTCCTCCTCCGCTTATATTGCCGCAGGCGCGGCTAGGCTCTGCCTCCGCTTGTATTGCCGCAGGCACGGCTAGGCTCCGCCTCCGGCCACGCCCTCTCGTGGAACTTTCTAGCCGGTTCTCGGAGTTTCTCGGCCTGCCCTGCCCTTCACCTTTGGCCTAGATACCTTCCTCTTGGGGATTGGATAATGTTTATAATGGTGCCTCTATCCGTGCTTCCCTTTACCAACCAGTAGATGTCACTATCTCATTACACACGCACACAGTGCTTGCCACAAATGAACCACAATACCTTGCTGATCTCATCAAGGAGCATAAAACATCATCTTCGCAACAGCGGCTTTTGGCTAGCCATAGAAAAAAGATGATCACCGCATCGCGCGCTTTCAGATGCGCTTCAGCGGCCGTCTGGAATATTCTTCCTTCTGATATTAGGAAGCCACTGGAGCTATATACTTTGAAATCATCTAGATTGAAAACTCATTTCTTTAGAACTGCTTTTGTGTTAAGTCTGTTGTCCTTCCCCCGCACCTCCGATTAGCACGGCTGGCTATGTACGGTGCGAAAGAAGTTCAAAATACATACGTACATTCTCAGTGGGTGCCGGGCCTGTGCCCAGAAAAGTCCTCCGTACAGGCCGCGCACATTTTTCGGCGCAAAACAAACCGAGGGCACCAGCGTGAGGGAAAGTCCTCCCGGTCCTCCTGTACCTTCTGACCCCTGACACCTTGGCAGCCCTGGAAGCCCTGGGTTCCATTCAAGCCGACTTGGCCTCTCTCTCCCTGCCAGAGGGAAACAAGAAAGACGTCTTCACACACTCTGTACAATCACCTCACAGCAGGTCAATCCCCTTGCATGACTGCATAAAGTATTGAGCAGTCATGGGTAATGATTAATTATCCACGACAACGCAAATTACTGTTATGCATTTATAATTTTGCGTCAAACCAGGAACCATATCTTAGACAGGGGACCCTTACCTATAGCATTTGGCAGTGTACAGCATTGAGTCAATCAAGCTGATGAAACACTGAATGTCAAAATGAGCCCACAGCTCGCTTTACATTGAACCAACAACGCTGCTGAAATGATGCACTCTCACGAGGCCGTGTCAATTGTTAGGCATGGCACCTAACACGCAACGTAGGAAACGTGAACACAACGTAAACCACAACAAAGAATACGTATTTTTATAGTTTAGTCATCGTCAGGCCTAGCCCTAGCTCCTCTGGGATGTGGGAGCCTGTGGGGGGGGGGGGGGGCACCATAGCATGGGCCTAGCGCTGAGGGGAGTGAACTTGTCTGGGCCTAGGGGACGTGCGCTGGTGCAGGGCCCACCCTGGTGTCCCGTGGAGTCGGGCCAGTGTATATTTATATATCGGTGATGGTTGAAATGAAGGAACATTATAACAGAGAAAGGCTGATTGCTTTAAAGGCGAGCTCATGAGCATTTACTCACAGTGGGCCCTTCCTCCCCGGGGTGGCCAGGGAAACCTTGTAGTCCAACGTTGCCCTAAAAAACGACAGGCGATCACATGTGTTACTAGCGATGACACGCACACACACAGGTGGTTAATTTAAATATTGCATTCACAAGGCTGTCAATATAAACGGGACAGCAACGCCACTTCACAGTTCTCTGCAGCAGAGGTGACAGTAAATCAAAGAAAATATGAAAGTCAATCTTGATTTGAAGCTTTCGTGACTGCAGGAATCCATACTCTTTGGTTCTTTCGGTAAAGTCATTTTATTTTATTTTATACCTACGTGACTTTACCGAAAGAACCAAGGAGTATGAAAGTCAATGTTCAAATATTTAAGGCAGCGATTTGTGCAGATACATTCCCAAGGTAGGGGCCATTGTTTTCAGAGGAAAATGGTTTCCTTTCCACTTAGTGGTACGCATTTTTAACTAAGCCCAGATGGTTGATGGGCCGAGTTGAACTCAAAATCTTCTAATTGTGAGCCGAGCCCTCTTCCACATCGCCACTCAACCGGAGGGTTAGCGTACAAAGCCAATAGCAGCAGTCACCCATTGTGACAACCAAAAATACAATACAACACTCTCTGGAAATGTTCACACCTCCACCGATGACTGCCTTGGGTTGTTATAAATGACAGTCGAGAGGTATTTGTTGTAAAGATTTTGATTGGTTCAAAGGGATAATTCAGTAATGAGGTCATGTGTTGTAAGATAAACATTCACCGAAGGGTCATACAAATAACGTGGCACTATTTCCTGTAGATCAGTGCAGTCCGCCACTACTCATGGAAAATTTGTGCAATGGCCCCCAGGTTGTCGGGGTTACAGAGAACAACAACTGAGGAAGGATTCAGCCGATGTGCGGAAAATTTCTGGCAAATACGCGCAATGATCCAATTCACGATTGGCAGATATGGCTTACTATGTTTTTATTTTACCGGGTAAGGCCCACTGAGCTATGTGGCTCTTTTTCAGAAGCGACTTGGCCACCAATTATAGCTCAACGAAGTGGCTTATCACGTGGAAATGTATAGCAGACAAATACTCCGTTTCTAAATGTGTAGGGAAAAACCAGAGGACTCGGAGAAAAGTCAAAGCAACCAAGGGGGAACATGCAAACTCCAAATATACAGGAATCAGGGTCGGGATTGAACGCAAGACCTCCGGTATAGCAGGCGAGGTGGATAACATCTCGCAGCCGTGGCTTGTTTTCGCGGAGTGCCGAGAGGCTCAATCCACACAGATGCATCTGTAAGTGCTACAAATGTTTACAACATTGTAAACTCAACGACTTGGATGTTTTTCTGTGTGGTGTTTGTATGCACATAAAACAACCATCTTCTCTAACTGCTTCTGTTCCTTCCTTAAAAGAACCCCCCCCCATCTCTTCTCCAGAGCCCATCCTACTACTGCTTCTCCCTGTCCAGCAGCTATGACCAGGCCTACCCCTATCACGACCCCTACCCCAATCCATGCTTTATCACTCGCACCTGTCCTGTCACCATAACTACACCACCACTTTTAATAAAAACTCCACTCTTTATTATCTCAACCAATAAAACCTTAGGTAGAATTTTACAGTTGTTGTAAAGCGCCTTGGAATAAGGCGCTGCTATATAACTCTATATAACATTAGATGTTGTCCCCTCTTCTGCATGGGTTTACTCCGGGTTCCCTAGTTTTCTCGCATAGCTAAAATAAAAAATAAAACACAAATACAATGTCACTGGTATTGGCCAAACATCTCAACACTGTAATATTGCCTGAAAATAACTTAATTGGGATGACAACAGCAGCAGCATCGCTCCCTAATGCGAAAATAAACTTTGCAGGACCCTCTTCACAGAGAGTCTTAAGACTCAGTGAGGCTTTCCGGGGTAAACAATCAGTTTGGTGCGACCATTTCTCAGCTTTTGTACAGAAATGTTTAGGTTCCCTGAACTTTCCACCAAATGCTGGAATCGAGGCTCACGCGCACAATGGCGATGTAAATGCCGATATGAAAAGGAATATGAGGACGATATGATGATATTGATGACATCGATCATGATTGTAATGCTTTTGTTGTTGCTATTATACCTTTCCGATTCTGAGACGCCTGCAGGGCAGGTCCCATTAACTCCTCAATCTTGGAACGCACACGTGGTCAGCACTGTAGCGACACGACCGCAATGTATGATAACTGGCGCCAAACTGTGCCACAAGCTCCCCCCCGCATGGCCTTTTACTCCAGATTCCGTTCCGATGATGTGCGTGTACGTCATCAGAACTGAATCGGAAGAACAACTGATGATGTACATATGATGATAATAATGATTCAAATGCACATGTACATCATGATGAAGATCATAGATTTGGGATGAATAAAATGGTGATGATTCAGAAGAGGAGAGACGTCTTGCTTCTAAGAGTGCTTTGCACGTGGGAGGAATCGCAGATAAAACCCATGCATGCAGGGGACAATACTGTAGTCCAACGTGCACACAGACAGATTCAGGAACCCACTTTCCGTAATGTATTTTCCTGGTTAACCCACAACCTCCAGGACTATGAATGTAAGTCACTGAGCGGTGGAGGCGGTGTCGGGGTGGGGGGGAACGGCAGCACTGCCTCATGAACCTGCCCGTCTGAGATTGAGTCCCGGTCACGGCTAACGTCACTGGCGAGTGATACAAGAACCAAACCATCCCCGCTTTCAGTAGACCGCGCTGACCAGCAAGGTCAACTATGGACAAAGAACCCCCACAACTGACATTGCATCGACAGGCCTTCGTCCAACAGTGCACTGAAAAAAGGGCAGTAGATGTACTGATATTTTTGTCTCATTGAAAACGTAAGCATCCTTGGCCTGTCAACGCTCTGACAAACAATACAGGCATTTCTATTAACCCAGCATGCTGTCTTAGTAGGCAAGGAAAAGCTCAGTTTTATATGGTGCCGATCACACAATGCCTCACAGCGCTTTACAACATAATCCCATTAACAACCCTTTACACTCAAACTTCGAGGCAAACAACCCTACACAGATGGATCTCAGACCATCCCTAAAAACTTCGATTGACGGAGCATCCCGAAAAGTCTGGGGCAAAGCATTGAATGCAGATTTGTGCGAGGTACACTCAGGTGCCCAATTATGCATGTACGTTGAACTTGTCTCGTGCCGTACATAGCCAATCATGCTAATTGGAGATTGTCTTTAACGCTGCCTTAATCTCTATCCTTCACATTGAGCAATACAAATTTAGAGAGCCCTTTGCAAAGCCATTGCCTGTGATTGCGTGCAAGTGTGGGAGGAGAGTGGCGGCACAGTGGTTAGATTGCTGTGCTACGAGCCCTGGACACTGTTAACATGATTGGCGAGTGATCTTTGAACCAAGCGGTCCTGAGCGTGCCCTAGGTCAAGTCAGCCTTCAGATTGAGAATCGCAATTCATCCTGGGGGAATCCGATGAGCTATGAAGCTCTTTTTCACAGATGCCTTAAAGCAGTACCATGTGTGATAAGGTTTGATGGATCAACGCAGAATTTGCGTTGTGGGTTTGTAGAATTGCCAGTTGATGGATCATCAGTTAGTTGAAGCAGCAGCATCATCACTTTCATGAAAACCTTCACTTGTCATCATTATTGTTTTCAAGTAGCCCTACGTTGGTGTGGCTTAGCACGAGAGTAGCGGGCCAGGGTGGAGCAGACACCAATCGTTGGGCCTGTCCGGTTGTCGCAGCAGGCGTGCCGATATCAGCAGGGAGGGCCTGGCTGTTCCTCAGCAGCCAAGTGCTGGCCGGTTGCACCACGTTCTGCAGAGCAGGGCTCAACCCATCCCCCACAGATTTTAAAAGAGGGCCAGAAACCGCCGTTTGAATTTTGGTGGAACCGTTTTTTTTTAAAATGGAATTTGCAGAAAAAAGTCGTAAGTCTGCAAGAGCGCAGAAACAAACTCGACGAAAATCGGGATGCAGTTATTTTTGCAAAGAGACAACGGCTTTTGTTGTTGTTAAAACACGCGTGCGAAAGCGAGAGTTCACGTTAGCTGGTAATCGTGTACAGCACGTAGAGCATTCAATCTGAACGCCACTCCGGCGGACCAGATGCGTGCGGCTACTCAGCGGTGAATCCCGAGGTCACCTCAGCGATGCCATTTGTCGCCAGCGATGGGCACAGCTGTCTGCGCAGCCATTTGGTAATAATTTTCAATGGGATTTAACTTTCATAAAGGTACGATTTCCACCATCAACGATGTGAGGTTTCCTTCCTTTAAAGGCTGCTTTTTTTTTACTCTTTGTGTGTTTACGCTGGGGCCCGGAGTAATGGGTTGTTTAATCTGTACCATGTGTTCATATGGCAGCAACCCCTCCAGCTGTTTCCATGGGCAGTTCGTGATGCTGTAATCAGCTCCCCCCCCATCCCCCACAATACACTGTTTCTACCTCAGATGGTATATAATTGTTAAAATGAGCCAAGTGGTCACAATTCCTGGTTTATGGCTTAAATAAAATATTTCATGAACTTTAAAATCACTCATTCATCCCGTCTGCTTATCCACTCCAACGTTTTCAGCAGAGAATGATTTAAATTCCGAAGCTTGCATGTAGCCCGTATTGCGGGCTAGAAACTTGACCCACTCTGGACAATGACGAGGACATTACACTTTTCTCTCCTCATCCATAATTCCCAGCTCCTCAGCTTACCGTGTGCTCCACGGACAACGCAATAAACTAGCATGGTGACGGAGGGGGAAGGTTCACCAGCAGAGGACAAATGATCTCAAATCCCACAAGACTTGCTGAGGAAGTAGATACAGACGCTAAAACTGAAGGGTCAATACACCAAACTCTGTACGAATGAGAAGATAAATAAATCAGAGATCACAAAACAAAAATAAAAGCGCCATCAAATTTAGATGTCAAGCAATGAGAGTCTTAAAAACAGCAAAATGTGGTCATGCTGAGGGAGAGATGGAAGATGGAACTATAACTCGTCACAGAGATATAATCTTCGATCGTAGATAATAAAGTCCATTGATATTGCGTAAAACAAGTAATAAAATACAAATTTATAACAAGTACCCACGTTTTCGCCAAAGCTATTTCTCAGAAAAAACAATCGAATATTTTTCAAAAAATTGGATTTTACTGAAATAAAAGGCAAAAGTCTAAATGGAGAGCGTATTTGCAAAGATAAAATACACACATTCCAAATGAACAATTTCATTTAAATAAGATGAAAAGACCAATCATAATAAATGACAGCCTTTTTCCACACCAAAGCTTCCCCATGCCACGGCTGTCATGGGGTTGTTTTGACCACACTTCACCACACTGCTCAGTTTAATATATAAACAAGCTGGCAAGGCAGCACAAGTTGGAAAGCCAGTATAAGGGAGCCTCGTGTTGCGTTAGGCTATGCAGATCTCCAAAGAATGTACGTGTGGATACTCTCTATGCTTTCATGGATTCACACGCTTGGATGCAGACCTACGAACTGCTGTTGTGCATTTCAGTTTAAAAGAAAAAAACTTTTTAAAAAGTATTTCATTGCCCATCTTACCACAAATTATATAAATCTGGGCAAGTTGTAGCAAGTTTTGTAGCAAGCAGTTTCGCATTGTATGGTTTTCGTAAAAACATCTGCAATGTCCTCTTTGTTGGCAGCGCAAGACGTAGCATTTAGGCTCCCGTCCAGCCTGTCTCCAGCCACGCCAGCTCGAGTTCGGAGAGGACCGCTAAGAATTATCCACGATGCTCGGAGTTGCAGTGGCATCTGGCCGTCACTGCCATGCCGGCCAGCCACCCGGCTACCCGGCCGGCCCCCAGCAGAACCTCCTCGTACCTGCGGGCCTCTCGGCCCCTGTAGACCGCGCGGGCCCGACTGCCCGCTGCACTTGCACATCACTCCGCAGCAGATGCGCTCCGCCACGCTGTTCTGGGGGTGGGGGGAGAGCAGCGGGCACAGCGAAAGGAAACAGCCTCAACGGCAAGATTGAGCAGTGCACTTACATCGCTACGTAGTCGGCAATCAAGGTCGGCATATCCCGTTCGCAGCCGCGTGGGCGCTCAGATAACTAAGGAGTGGTTCTCATTATCTGTGAGCTTTTACTCCGGCTGCTTAAGCCAACTTGAGTTTATTCTCCCTCTCACATTGATGAGCGAAACTTTAGCTTGCCTGAGATGTTTTTGAGCATAAGATTGCATTTGCTAAACGACGACTTACACTTCACTGCCATGTAAATACGAACGCGAGGTCAACATTTTTGCAAGTAAAAAAAATGTAAAGTTAAAAACGATCTCTACATAGGCTGGTTTTAGTTGTGTCCAGCACTCTGGGCATTGCCAGTGATGACCATACTTGGTAACAGCTGATAACAGACAGGTTACCAACACTTTACCTGACAGTAAGTTGTTTGCAAATCAGATGAGCGATTTTAATTTCATGTCATATTCACGCGAGCGGAAGGGAAACGGGTGAGTTTAGAGCTTCTCTGAGATGTGCAGCCTGATTCGTGTGTTGTCAGAAAGACAAATATGACTTGATTTTTTCCATAAAAATGAAAAATTATGTTCTGTTAAATGGCATTATAATCTGCCTTTTCACTCAGAAAAGACTAATGCATATAAAAATGTTTTCATTATCATACAGGAAAGGCTTTTGAATATCTATATATGCATTTTTATTGCTAGTTATGTATTGAGCAAAACACAGTTGGAAAGTTTGTTTTAAAGACTTCAGGGTGATTTCGTAAGAAATGTGTGCGGTGTCTGTGTGTATATATGTGTCTATTTTACTTCTGTGAAATGTTACCTACAACGTTTGAATGTCTTGCTACCCTTTTAGGGGGGCCTTGTTGTTGCTTTGCACCATCTCTCTTTCGCCAACCATGTTCTTATTTAACTCCACGGTTAACTTGTCCAACATACTTTTTCATCTCCGTGGGCGATTACCACGCCAATACATTGCTTTGTTTGCTTTGGCAAACTAGAAACTGGAATGAATCCATCAGCCAAGAGTATAGTGTGTGTGTTTGGAGGGAACCGTGGCGCAGCGGTTAGCGCGCGGCGCTATGAACCCCGTGACCAGAGTTTGATTTTTCGCTCTCACGGGCAACACCAATGACAATTATCTGAACCGGTTCTAGGCCTCCACTCACTAGACTTAGCCTCAAATGAGTACCTGGTGCTGTGTGAAAACATCTCCACTGGGGAGACGAAGGCGCTCGGGCATGCCGCTGGCCACCCACCCCCTCGTGTGCCGTGCCGGCCTTCATAGGTGCTCGCTATCAGCACTTGCCTCAACAATTTGTTGAAGCTATATGGGGGATATTTGTATTTGTGTGTGTGTACGTGGGAGTGCCTCCCAGTCAAAACCACTCACGAGCTCCACAGCCAGCTCGTTTTGCAGGTCCCAGCGAGCGAGCACGATTTGCCGATTGTACCGCGTCCCACGGCCAAACTCCACCTTGGAGATATCGGCCTCTTGGGCCATACCTTGCAGGCTCACCGTGATGAAGGCCTTCACAATGCCTGCTCACAGCAGAAGCGCCATCATGCAAACCCCCACCCCGCCATTACAACACGGTCGAGAATGGCCCAGTGTGAGGATGCAACGAGTCATCCGTTCAGACTGTCGAGCTCGCAACACATCATTATTACGCCCGTTCGCTCAGGAAGGCCTCACTCAAGACTCCTTTTTGGGAGCGTCCTGCCGAGTTTTAGCAGGTGGGGGATGATGTTGGTGCTGTGTGAAATCCCAATTGAACAATTTTCAGGTAATATTTTAACTTTGGGATGTTTTGCCCAATACCAGTTACATTTTTTTTTTTTTGCTATGGAAGGAATCCGGAGAACTCAGAGGAAACCCTTTGTAGAACAGGGGGAGAACATACAAACTTCTCACAGAAAGGCAAATCGAACTCAGGCTTCTCTTGCAGTAAGGCGCAAGTGCGCTAGCCTACCGCCTATTTGAGGCTTTACTTTGCCTATCGTCATCATCGTCATCATCATAATCAATACAGTGAATATCATTTCATGTGGGAATTCAACATTGATTATAATGTGGAAGGAATGGCCCCACCATGACAATGTGGACATTTCCCGATTCACCCAGGGCCACTAATGGAGACGACGACTGCCCTTTTGCTAATTTTATAGCAGAGATCCTTTGCACTAGCAGAGATCTGTCATGTTTCACATTTCTGAGACACACCTAGTTAACTCCGATACAAGGCAACTGTCCCCTTATTGCTACGGATTGCATGGCTCTGTTGGCCACAGCTTGTGTATTTGCAAACGATGACAACTTGTCCCCACGATCGACAGACGCACCAGCATCGCACTGTGGGGTGCATTGCTTGGGCTCAAGATCACACGCGTCCACTGGTTGGCCCATAACAATGCATCACACGTTCATCATCAAGATTTTAGGGGAAGCAGTGCCCAGGCTAAAACATTTCAGGAGGCGACACCTGCATGCGGACAACAATTGTCGGTGCCAAAGAGAATCAAGCGCTTGCCTGTGGTGTGTAGTTTTTTAATGATATTCTGCATCTTGCTCAAGTCTTGATCCAATCCATCCGTGAAATATATGAGAACCTGCACGCAGAGCACACACCAGCCGAAGGGGAAATGGTGGGGATCCACGTCGCTTAAAAAATGAAGTACAGTGACACACAGCCCAGCAATGGCACATGTCAAAAGTAACATCATCAACCATTGTCAATCATCCATCATTAATACATCATCATCAACACATAATTGTCAATCTATTAACATCAATACATCATCAAATCATCAACATCATCTGCAACCCATCATCAATTGATGAGCATCATCTCGAATCATCATCAATCCATTATCATTATCGGGGACATCAATCCGTCAACACCATCAGCAATCAATCATCATCGTCAAACAATCATCATCAATCCATCATCACCAATCCATCATCACCATCACTGTCAATCTCCAACATCATAACAATCACTAGCCTCGCTATCATCATCATCATCCCACAGTGCCATGCAACTCTGAGCCTGGAGAGAACCACGAGGAACGGATGTGACTGGCGGGAGCAGCATTGTGCCGCTGATTAACACACACGGCAGCTTCACGTGTGGGCGACTTTTCTTCTATCCGCAAACTATCTCTGCTCAACAGGCAGTTATTTACTCCGTGGATAATAAGAGTCCCTCCAAATAGTTCTGGCTGTGAATAGCAGCAGTCGCAGCTCACGGGGTCACAGCCGATAGGAGCTGATAAGAAATCTACATTGGACCATGTTTATCCATAAAAAAAAACCTTATTGCAAATCTATGCTAAACTTAGCAAATTCCTTAACCCCATTGTCTAACTCAAGACACACCCAGACGTCCACCTAATTGCCTTTAACTATCCCAAAAACAAGAATGGGAATAGGTGACAAAGCCTTTGCCATTGCAGTACCAATGTTTTGGAAACAACATTGTTTCTTCCCTTAACATTGTAAATCTGTCTTTAAAAAATATCCGAAGGCAGAATATTAGTGGTGGATACAACTGCATTTGCAAAATATGATTCGTAACTTTCATCCTTACCCATATATCGATAGTTACATTTTAATGTGCAATTTTATTGAGGGACTGTGTGTTGTTGTCTTGGTATGGTTTGGGACTGTTACTGTTTTGCTTCCTTTCCCAAGCTTGAGAATTGGCGCACTCATGCAATTTTTACCTATACACTATATCTATTTATTTATTTTTAGTGGTTCGCTCATTGTTCCTATACTTTGCACTCCTATCGTGTTTTTGTATTGTTTGTTTATGTAACTTTCTGACCCGCCCCTTCTGGATATCTGTGAAAAGGATCTTCATAGCTGATCGGATTTATCCTGGATAAATCAAGATTTTGATTCGAATATTCTGAGGAGAGTAGTGGTGACCACACTTCTGCGTTCTTGTGCAAAGTGGGGGGGGGGATTATTCGAGCCCTTTGATTTGTCCTTCCTGTCTATTGTGTGTATTAAAATAGCGTAACAACGGGAATCCCTATTGAAGTATGCAGCCGTTTATAGGCATGCATTTAAATAATGTATTGTTTGATGATTCGCTTCCATGCAGCACTAAGGTGGTAGCTATCCAAACGGTTAAAATTATATTTACTTCATCGGACCTCCATTGCCAGTACCAAAATATGAGAATAGGTTTTTTCCCCTTTTTTCTGGCAACAAAAAAACACCTTTTTCAAGGAATTACGCCTGCATTAACAACAATACTTGTGGTCAGAATGCAAAAAAACACTGATAATATATGCATTGTCTTTGAAACTGATTGGTCCACACCAGAGACAGCTTTCTTTCCAGCCTCGTCTCAAACGGTGTAAGACCAGAGGACGCCAAATATCATTACGGTTAAGCTTAATATCTTTAATTATATTTACGAGATGTTCAGAGTTTTTGATGAACGAAGAGGTCCTCCCGATGTAGTAAATCCTTGGGACTCCGACGTACCTTCAGTCTGGAATATTTATCCTTCTCCATCTTTTCCAGGGCGGCTCCCAGGACCTGCTCGTTCAGGAAGGAAGGCCCCGCCGTCTTGATTTTCTCAACCGCCTCTCTGAACGTGTTGCCAAAAGGCATGAAGCCGGTCTCTACGAGCGTTTTTCCGTTGCGCGCTGCCGCCAACAGCGCCAGCCGGGTGGGCAGAGTGCTTCCCATGTCGCAGCTGACGCGCTCAACTTGCCCAAGAGCCCCGAGCACATCATTCAGGGGGTTGATCAACTTCTGGTAGTCCGCCGCGTTGTTCGTAGACATGTCCACCCCGACCAGGACATCCACCGAGCACTCCGTCATACCTAGACGTGGCGTGGTGGCGGCGTGCGCATTCGCGCGCGTTTAGACTTGCACAAAAGTCACTCTTTTAAGTTGATTTTGTGTAACCAGGATGAGAACTATAGAGACCAGGAAATTAGTCTAAATTGCAAGAGTGACCTGGGGCATTGGTCAGCAATGATTGCTGCTAGCTGTATAGTCTCAGCTGAGTCTTTTACAGCTAAAATTTTGAATTTGGCAAATTTTTTATCATGATGCAGGCACACAATGGAATACTCTTGCGAATGACGTCAGGAGATTTTTAACATCCACTGCGACGCAGAATGCGTGGGGTATTAAGACGATTATTACACGAACAGGAATAACCAGGGCGGCCTGCCAGATTCGAACCATAAACCTCTGCAACAAGCAGTGAATGCGCTAACTGCCAGGCCGTGTCACTGCCCCCTCCTCAATGTTAATGAGACATAACAGTGAACAGTGCATTACTACGTGCACAACACATGTTATAACTCTTAAAACTGTATCATTATTGATTTGAAGCTTTCGTGACTGCAGGAATCCATACTCTTTTGTTCTTTCGGTAAAGTCACGTAGTTATAGAATAAAATAAATCACGACGTTTCGGCTACAACACAAGCGGCCTTCATCAGGTGAAGGGACCAGGCTGTCTCGAGGACAGCGCTGGAGTCAAACACAGCCACGCTCAGACCGCGACCTTTAAGCTGTGTGCGAGGAAACAAGGTGCCTTGACAAAGGAATTAGCATAAAAATTTGCATTTGATTGGCCGACTTAGCATGATGAACGGTGTAGAGGTGGTGTACATGCGGGTGAACATGCCGGTTGGCGAGGGGGGGGAGGGGGAGTTTACCTATTGATGGTGTGAAAAGGGAATTTTTAAGAGCTGCGAAAGTTTGGGGTACCACTACTTGAAAAATATACTGTACCTTTGAAAATTAGTTTAATGTTTGGTTCGATTTAGAACATCTTTCCAATGGTTGCTTAATTTGAAACCATCTTCTCGGTTGAAATTGTGTCTGTGTTTGTAGATCTGAATTGCCTCGTGAACAAATCTCTGATAAAAACCCGTGGGTTTGCAAAGAACCTTGGTATCGGAGAAAATTATATCGTGATCACTCACAGGGTTGTAACAGTGATCAGCTACGGCAGAATAATTTGTTCTGCCGTGTTTCAAATCTGATTTGTGCTCGCGAATTTGGTCAGAGACATGTCGCTTTGTCTCCCCGATATAGGAATCACCGCAGGTACAACTCAATTTGACTTACAGTACCCCGGCGTTGTACCTGCGGTGATTGCTATATCGAGGAGACAAAGCGACATGTCTCTGACCGAATTCGCAAGCACAAATCAGAACGAATTCTTCTGTCATAGCTGATCACTGTTACAACGCTGTGGGTGATCACGATATAATTTTCTCCGATACCAAGGTTCTTTGCAAACCCACAGGTTTTTATCAGAGATTTGTTCACGAGGCAATTCAGATTTACAAACACAGACACAATTTCAACCGAGAAGATGGTTTCAAATTAAGCAACCATTGGAAAGATGTTCTAAATCGAACCAAACATTAAACTAATTTTCAATGGTACAGTATATTTTTCAAGTAGTGGTACCCCAAACTTTCGCAGTTCTTAAAAATTCCCTTTTCACACCATCAATAGGTAAACTCCCCCGACCCCCTTTTCCAACCGGCATGTTCACCCGCATGTACACCACCTCTACACCGTTCATCATGCTAAGTCGGCCAATCAAATGCTAATTTTATGCTAATTCCTTTGTCAAGGCACCTTGTTTCCTCGCACACTGCTTAAAGGTCGCGGTCTGAGCGTGGCTGTGTTTCACTCCAGCGCTGTCCTCGAGACAGCCTGGTCCCTTCACCTGATGAAGGCCGCTTGTGTTGTGGCCGAAACGTCGTGATTTTTGTTGCTTTATTTTTTACCTACGTGACTTCACCGAATAGAACTAAAGAGTATGGATCCTTGCAGTCACGAAAGCTTTAAATCTAGAATTGTTTTTAAAAGGTTTGAAATGGGTGTAGCCCAAGGGTCATGAAGAGGAGGCCGCTCTCCTATCTTACATACTAATTTCTCATATTAACATCATGCTAATCTCTCATATTAACATAGCCACTTCCGTGCCCTCGTCGTGGAGGCCACTCTCCTATATTACAGTTACATGCTAATTTCTCACATTAACATCATGTTAATCTCTCACATTAACATAGCCACTTCTGTGCCCTCATCGAGGAGGCCACTCTCCTATATTACAGTTACATGCTAATGTCTCACATTAACATCACTAGCCCCGGCCACTTCTTTATTACCCTTGAGCTACACCCATTTCAAACCTTTTAAAACAGTCTGCCTCAGCAGCAGACCATGCTTCCCCACCTGATGACGGACGCTTGTGTTGCGCCCGAAACGTCGTGATTTATTTTATTTTATACCTACGTGACTTTACCAAAAGAACCAAAGAGTATGTATTATTATTGTTATTATTATTCCGTTTTGATTATCCAGGAAAGCCTGAGTCTCAAGACTCTTTTTCAGGAGGGTCCTGGCCAAGTTTTCACAGTAGGGGGGCGATATTGTTGCTGTGTGTGATCCCATTTGAGTAATTTTCACGTAATATTTCAGCGGTTTTTATTCAGCTTTGGGAGGAAACCGTAGATCCTAAAGAAAACCCATTCAGAGCAGGGGGAGAAAATACAGACGCCGTGGTGGCAAGATGTTAACTACCTTGCCTGGTATGCAGGAGGTCGTGGGTTCGATTACGACCCTGACACCTGTATATATAGAGTTTGCGTGCTCTCCCTGTGGTCGTGGATTTTTCTCTGGGTTCTCCGGTTTCTCCTTACACGTTTAGAATCAACATTACCCGCTTTGAGTATTTGGCTGCTATACATTTACACATGATGATAAGTCACTTTGATGAACTACCATTTGCGGCCAGGTCACTTCTGAAAACGAGCTACATAGCTCAGTGGGCCTTACCTCACCACTCGGTAGACACCCACCAGACACACTACTCCCCTGAAACACAGAGATTTCACTCCACCACACCACAACATGAATGTATTTTACCACTATGCTGCACTCCTACGCCACACAACCACACCACTATAAAATATTCCTACACTACACCATGAAAAAAAAATAGTAAAAAAATGCGTTAAGCAGACTCCACGCCGAAAGGCAACAGTCAGGAATCGAACCCAGTATCTGCTTGCTACACCATATTTCTACACTACCATTACACTGCAAAAACACCACACCATACTCTACACCATTATATTTTTTTAATGCGTCAAATAGACTCTACACTGAAAGACAACCGAGCCAGGAATCGAACCCAGGCCCTGCTAGCTGCTGTGAGGCGTGAGCGGTCATCACTGCGACACCACCACCATCACCACCGCACTTACTCGGTGGCGGCTGAGGCGTCGTGCTTGGCGCTGGCTCATCCCCGACGCACATCTTGCCCACCACCTCGTCCCGAATGTTTGGCAGGTCTTCAAAACTCTCGAGGTGGAACACGAGCTTCTCCTCGCTGGCGATGACTTTGAGGTTCTCGAAGCGGACATCACCCACGCCGATCGCCACCACTTTGACGCCCTGGTTGTGCAGCGCGGCGGCCGCGGCGGGGACCTTGTATTTGTTGGTGGGGTCGCCATCGGTGAACACCACCACCACCTTGGACACCTTGCGATCGCCCAGCATGTTGTTCTTGACGTGCCACAGCGCCTTGTCTGTGTAGGTGTCGCCCTTCTGCTGTTTGATAGCGAGGATGGCGGCCACCACTTTCTCGCGCGTATCGTAATCTGTGAGCAGGAATTCGGTCGTGGGGTTGGTGCTGAACTGGATGGCGCCAACGTTTACGGCATTTGCCGAGATTCTGAAGTTCGTCACCAACTTGCTGAGGAAGTCTTTCGTGTTCTCAAAGTTCTGTGGACTGATGCTGGTCGAACTGTCGATCACCAGCACCACGTCGGCTATGATGCCGCATTCTGTGGTGAAAACATCGTTGAGATGCTGTTAGTCGTTGTCATGAAATTCACAACCCCAGTTTATATCATACTATTATTAATAATGCACAATTGTTGCTCGCTCTTGAAGAGAAAGGCTCAGAGGCATGAGGAACTATAGATGAGTGGAAAGGGTCAGCGCCAAATTCCCCCATAAGCTCTGCATTCATCTATTCATCAAAGTGTTATCGACCAATTCATGAGTGTTTACATCACATATTTATCGATGACCTGAAGTGGCACTGGAACACAATGCTGAATGCAACTTGAACAGTACGTAGCCAACCGCACTAATCGGATGTGCGGGGGAAGGACAACAAAGTAAATACAAAAAGTGGTTCTAAAGTAAATTAGTTTTCAATCTAGATTTAAAAGTACATAGCTCCAGTGGCTTCCTAATATCAGAAGAAAGAGCATTCCAGACCGCCGCAGAAGCACATCTGAAAGCGCTGATACGGTGAGAGTTTTTTTTCGAGATTAATAACCTATTGTGGTTTGTGGCAAGCACTCTGTGTGTCATCACTGCAACCTCCTGCATTTACAGTACAGTTGTGTTTTTTTTTATCAGCTTCGCACACGAGACAATGACAATGAAAAGCTCTATGTAGAGTGTATTCATGAGGAAGGGTACAAAAGCACTCACGCATATTTGGATTAAAGGAGGTACTCGTCGACCTGACAATCACTTTGTTCATTTTCCTTTCTACTTCTGCGACCGTGGTGCTGAGGACCTCATTCATGACACGCTGGATTTGCTGGAACGACTGCACCAGGTGCACGTGGGCGTCACGCGGCGACGACGCTATCAGGTTCAGGTTGGCCACTCCGCCGCCCTTCACGCCGATGCAGAATGCCGTGAGGCCGGCGCGCTTCAGCAGGGCCTCCACGCCGGAGAGGTCGTCCGCGGACTCTCCGCCGGACACCACCACAGCCAGCTGTGGAACAACGCTCTGTGCCCGGCCGCCGCCCTTCTGAGAGAACACGTTGCTGATGGAGAGCTCGATAGCTTGCCTAATCTTTCCCGTGCCGCCCTGAAGCGTGACTCCCTCGATGGCACGGAGGACCTTCTCCTTGTCGAAGTACTTATCGAGCGTAAACTCGATTTGCGGCGCGCCGCCGATCTGCACCACGGACACGTGGACGTTGTCGACGCCGACGGGCAGCGCCGACACGAAGGAGTAGACAAGGTTTTTGATGAAGCGGAAGTTTATCTCTCCCACGGATGATGACCCGTCGATTAGGAAGGCCACGTCCATTGGCGGGGCACGCATGTAATCTGAGAAGGGAGAACAGCACATTCAACTGCTCACTTTGCAACAGCATTGTTCATTGGTGACGAATAAATAACATTATTCTGAATACTAGGTTGTTATTTTTTACATCCTGGCATATGGTAGCGCCTTCTGTTGGCTGCAGATGGTGGCAGGGGTGGCGCGATGACATAACACACGCCACACGCGTGGAACTAAAATGCACGATTCGCATGCGCGCGTTTGGATGCGCGCGTCGTTAGCTAAATGCCGGATCCTAATCGATCGATGCATTGTGCCGACCTGAGTCAGCACTTCCTCTTTGTACTCAAGCCTCTACTAAGTGGTAAGCAAGTACTAAAAAAACATTTAAAAGCAGACCCAAGTCTGTGTTCGGTGGCTTAACATTTTCAGTGCTGCGTGAAACGTGCTTCGCATTCCTGTCGGATGAATAATTGGATCATTCCACATCTGGTCGGCCTGGACTTAAAGACACTTCAAATCGGTATTTAAATTTATTTTATACTTTGCTGAAAATTATTGATCGGATGCACTACAACTAAACGGGATTTCGAAGCAAGGTAAGATCCTCCTCGAATTTCATGTGCTTATGCAGTACTCGCACACGATCTGAGAAAGATATCACCAACTGAGAAGTGAGAGCCTAAGGAGCTGTGCTGAAATATAGAATTAGATTTGCTATGCTGGGCACCTTACACTGTCAACAAAACTGTAATTATTTTTTTGTTCTGATGCTCGGTTGCTCAGGAAAGCCTTACCGAGTCTCATCACTTTTTTCAGGAGGGTCCTGCCAAGTTTTCACATTAGGGAGCAATGTTCCTGCTGCTGCTGTGCGTAATCCCAAATTAGTCAATTGCAGGATTTTTTTAGCATTGGGATGTTTGGCTGATACCAGTTTTTTTTTGCTTTGGGAGGAGATTGGAGAGCCCGGAAGAAACCCCATGCAGATCAGGGGGAGAACATACAGACTCCACGCAGAAATGTGTCCGAGTAGGGAGTTGAACCGAGGCTCTGATCACTGCGAGGTCACTCTGCCAAACGTGGTGCCCAATGCTCGTCCTGGATGTACCGTGGCAGCCAATACTGGTAACCACTGCGTCCGTGCAAGTCAGCGCAATGTGGTTTAAAGATATGTCCTTTTTATAGGCACCTTCAATAGAGCATTTGTTCTTTATTGTGTGATTGGAGCTGCTTACATTGCACAGTACTAAAACAATACAAATGTTCCTTATAAAATCATAATCGAAGAAAATATGGTAATATGTATAAGCGCTTTAGCATTGGATGTTATCGACAAGTGTACCCTTTGTAAATACAATACAAAATTTACATTTTCGAAAAGGAAAAATATTTGAAGTATACCTTGTAACTTCTTTGTGTTGCCACATTGCATCACAGGCAGCATAATAATTAGCAAGAACATGACCATAAATGTTGCAGCGTATACGAGGAAATGCGGAATGATTCAATTCGAGCAAAGCGTGTGGCATTAAACATGTTTTACCTCCCATCGGCTTCAGTGGCCAAGGTGCGAGGTGGAGGTCGATGTACTTGCACAATTGCTGCAAAATCGTGGCCTGGTCGACGGAGGTGAGCAAGAACGATGACTGGCTGGGAACTCTCTGCAGCTCGGCAATGTCCGCGTCTTCGGTCGCGATGACGAAGATCGCGACCCCCTGACCCTTGAGCTCCTCCGCCGCCGCCAACACATCGTCGTCTGGTGACGCTCCTGCCAAGACGACTGCGATCTGCGGCACGCCCTCCAGCTCGCGGCTGCCAGCAGACTTGGTGAAATGATTCTTGGCGGCGAAGTTCAAACCGGCGCCGAGCTTCGGGCTCCCTTTTCTGACTTGCAGAGACTTGGAGGCCTTTATGACGTCTTCCTTCCTTTTGTGCGTCTTCAGGAAGAACTCGTTCTTGGGGTCGGCGTTGTAACGGAGGAGACCGACGCGAACTTCGCTGCTACCGACCCTCAGGGCATCGATGATGTAGAGGAGGAGGGCTCGCAGCTTCTGCAGCGTCGGGGCGTTCTTCTCTCCTCCCATCAGGAAGACGATGTCGGCAGGTCTGCTCATTTCGCAAGCTGCAGCAGCCACGAAACACAACGGCCGCAGCGACGTGATTTTGCGGGCATCGTGACACGGTGCACATTTTTGCTCAAAAATGTCTTTGAAGTTAACATTGTGTCGTAGGCCATAGTACTTGGTACTTGCAGGGGGTAACTGGAGGGGGGTGACTCGAGGGGGGTGGATAGAATCGCGAGGGGGGGGGGGTGACTCGCTGGGTGGGTGACTCACGGGGGGAGGGAGGTGAGTCATGGGGGGGGGGTGACTCACGCGAGGGGGGGTGACTCGTACGGGGAGGTTACTCACGGGGGAGGGGGTGACTCGCGGGGGATGATTCGAGGGGGGTGACTCCAGGGGGGTGACTCCAGGGCGGTGACTGACTCCATGGGGGGGGGGGGTGACTCGCGGGGGGGGGGGGGTGACTCGCGGGGGGGAGGGGGTGACACGCTGGGGGGGGGGGGGGATTGACTCACGGGGGTGGGGGGGGGTGCCTCGTAGGTTAACATGTAATAATGCAAGACAATAAACGAACAAGCAACTCACGGTCCATAGTCACTTGACTTCTCACGACCAACGCGTCCGGTTGAGAGCAGATTTCAATCAAAACCTCTTGAGAGAAGCTGCTCAGAGCCGAGTAATCGTCTGTCATGAAGACCTTGGAACCTGCAATCAACTTGAGTTCCAACTCGTCCGCCTGCTTCACGCCCAGCGCGATGACGGTCACCTCTCTCTGCATCAAGATGCTCGCAGCCTGCCTCACGTCATCCTGCCAGGTGGAAATCGCAAGGGCTTACCCAACGTTCAGAATCATGAGTCGTTCTCTTAATGCGCTTCAAATATCACCATGCGTACGCTCTGTTTCTCCTAAAACACGTGCTCTTTTCATGACGCGAATGTGACATCACACGATGAATGGTGTTAGGGTACACATTTTTTGTATAACGCGATCGAGCAGGACTACGTCACGTGAGTAGGATTACTGCGTAGCATTACACAACGTGGGATGCTGCTGGATGCTTCTAGATGCTACTCACGCGCCTCAGCCTTTGTTCAGCCTGTGTACGCATGTCACGTGTTATCGCAGACTGTGTTTTACCCTACATTGGAAGTATGTCATCAACCAAGTTAAACTTTAGCTGCCTTATAGTTTATATTCATATTTCCAGTCTTTACTCCCAGCTTTGCACTCTACTATCACTAGGAAATTTTACGTACAGTGATTTTAATCGTGTAAAATTGTCCCCCATCCCACTCCCCCCCCCCCCCCCGTAGTACATGCAGCTTATCACCCGACTCCACACGGCGCCCCCGAAGCCTCTCCAATCTCCGTGCCCCAATACTCACCCTCCCGCCACCTCTCCTGCATAATAAATAGATGTTATCAATCGGCTTAACTTAGCGTTCTTATTTATCAGCTTATACTCGTAGGAACCTCCTGGTTACACCAGCCCACAGGGGATTATTGTGTCCGTCCGTCGTGCATCCAAAAATGGGAGGGGTGGGGAGGGGAGGGAGGGGAGGGGCTGGGTGGGGAGGGTGGGGCTGGGTGGGGAGGGGAGGGTGGGGAGGGGCTGGGTGGGGAGGGGCTGAGTGGGGAGGGTGGGGCTGGGTTGGGAGGGGAGGGTGGGGAGGGGCTGGGTGGGGAGGGTGGGGAGGGGCTGGGTGGGGAGGGTGGGGCTGGGTGGGAGGGGTAGGGCTGGGTGGGGAGGGGCTGGTCACCCCGTGGTGCCCTTATAAAACTCAACGTTTAACCTACTCACGCCGGCTTGTGCCAGCCCTCACAGTCGGGCATATTTGCGGAATACACCACGTGGTGCCGCCGTTGACCCTGGCCACTGACCGAGCAACCCAACGTTCCTACCAGCTCCCTCTGCAGGAATGTGTTACTTCCGCCCCCGTGTTCACACGCCAGCTTAACTCAGCGTATCACCGCCCCCCCCCCCGACTCCACACGGCCCCCCCCCTACCCTGCGGTCCCAATTGGCTCCTCCCCCCTTCTTCTCATATATAAAAGTTTCCGCGCGCGCTTGCGAGGGATTTGGCACTCGAACAGTGGACTTTACGTGGAAACAAATTTGCCAGCCAGCACGCCCTAAGCCCCGCGGTGGGAATAGGCTATTCCTTTTTCACATCCGTCACCTTTAAATTAGTTAAATTAGCGATTTAGTGGGATTTAGCTTTATTTATTTATTGCGCGACCTTGCCAAGTGATGCGCGTTCGGTCGAGCTCACGGGCGACATTTTCTTTCACGCGTTTAACATGCAATAAATACACTCATGACGCTGCGGATATTTCTTCACAGTGTCATGTCCTTGGATGGCATTATGGTAGTATTATTTTTTTATTTAAAGCTTTCGTGACTTCAGGGATTCATATTCTTGGTTCTTTCGGTAAAGTCACGTAGAAGGGAAACAATACAATAATAAAAATATAAAGCAATAAAATTCTCACGACGTTTCGACTGCAACACAAGCAATTATCATGTGGTAGTATTATTGTTTACTATTATTAAACAAATACGTTGGCAGATATTACAGCAATAATGTTTGTGTGCACAAAACTAATTTTTCATTATTAGGCTGCTAAATATTCCCTTTTTTAGGTGCGTTTTCATGACGCTGCGATGGTCTACTGCCAGTCTGTCATGTGGCCTGCTGTCTGCCTTTCATGTCGACTGTATTCTGCTTTTTCAGCTGCTGCCCGTATTGCAGCTTTTAATGTCGACTGTAGACTGTAGCCTGCTTCTCATTTTACAGTGAGGGAAAAAAGTATTTGATCCCCTGCTGATTTTGTACGTTTGCCCACTGACAAAGAAATGATTAGTCTATAATTTTAATGGTAGGTTTATTTGAATAGTGAGAGACAGAATAACAAAAAAATCCAGAAAAAACGCATGTCAAAAATGTTATAAATTGATTTGCATTTTAATGAGGGAAATAAGTATTTGACCCCCTCTCAATCAGAAAGATTTCTGGCTGTCAGGTGTCTTTTATACAGGTAACGAGCTGAGATTAGGAGCACACTCTTAAAGGGAGTGCTCCTAATCTCAGCTTGTTACCTGTATAAAAGACACTTGTCCACAGAAGCAATCAATCAGATTGCAAACTCTACACCATGGCCAAGACCAAAGAGCTCTCCAGGGATGTCAGGGACAAGATTGTAGACCTACACAAGGCTGGAATGGGCTACAAGACCATTGCCAAGCAGCTTGGTGAGAAGGTGACAACAGTTGGTGTGATTATTCGCAAATGGGAGAAACACAAAAGAACTGTCAATCTCCCTCGGCCTGGGGCTCCATGCAAGATCTCACCTCATGGAGTTGCAATGATCATGAGAACGGTGAGGAATCAGCCCAGAACTACACGGGAGGATCTTGTCAATGATCTCAAGGCAGCTGGGACCAGTCACCAAGAAAACAATTGGTAACACAGTACGCCGTGAAGGACTGAAATTCTGCAGCGCCCGCAAAGTCCCCCTGCTCAAGAATGCACATATACATGCCCGTCTGAAGTTTGCCAATGAACATCTGAATGATTCAGAGGACAACTGGGTGAAAGTGTTGTGGTCAGATGAGACCAAAATGAAGCTATTTGGCATCAACTCAACTCGCCGTGTTTGCAGGAGGAGGAATGCTGCCTATGACCCCAAGAACACCATCCCCACCGTCAAACATGGAAGTGGAAACATTATGCTTTGGGGGTGTTTTTCTGCTAAGGGGACAGGACAACGTCACCGCATCAAAGGAACGATGGACGGAGCCATGTACCGTCAAATCTTGGGTGAGAACCTCCTTCCCTCAGCCAGGGCATTGAAAATAGGTCGTGGATGGGTATTCCAGCATGACAATGACCCAAAACACACGGCCAAGGCAACAAAGGAGTGGCTCAAGAAGAAGCACATTCAGGTTCTGGAGTGGCCTAGCCAGTCTCCAGACCTTAATCCCATAGAAAATCTGTGGAGGGAGCTGAAGGTTCGAGTTGCCAAGCGTCAGCATCGAAACCTTAATGACTTGGAGAAGATCTGCAAAGAGGAGTGGGACAAAATCCCTCCTGAGATGTGTGCAAACCTGGTGGCCAACTACAAGAAACGTCTGACCTCTGTGATTGCCAACAAGGGTTTTGCCACCAAGTACTAAGTCATGTTTTGCAGAGGGGTCAAATACTTATTTCCCTCATTAAAATGCAAATCAATTTAAAACATTTTTGATATGCGTTTTTCTGGAGTTTGTTGTTATTCTGTCTCTCACTGTTCAAATAAACCTACCATTAAAATTATAGACTGATAATTTTTTTGTCAGTGGGCAAACGTACAAAATCAGCAGGGGATCAAATACTTGTTTCCCTCACTGTACCTGTGCGTACTGCTGCTCTTTAATTTCCACTTCTTTCAGCTTTTTTCTTTTATGTATTTTTATTGTTTCGATTGCTCACATCACGCTATTTACTCATACATAGTACTGTGATGCTGATAGCTGTGCCATCATCGGGGATTGCTCTGCACGTCGACGTGTGTGTGTGTGAGTCGATGTTTGTGTGTTTGAGTCCATATGTGTATGCGTGTAGGTCCATGCATGTGTTTAAGTCCATGTGTGTGTCTGTCTTTTTCGAACGGACAACGCCGATGTGTATGTGTACGTCCAAGTGATTGTGTGTGTGTCAGTCCCAGTGTGCATGTCAGTCCATTTTTGTGCGTATCAGTCGCTCTGTGTGTGTTAGTCCATGTGTGTGTGTTAGTCCATGTGTGTGCATGGCTCCATCTGAGTGTGTAAGTCAATGTGCATTTGTGTGTCTATGTGTGTCAGTCAATGTGTGTGTGTACATTGACGTGTCCGGCAAAAACAACCCTCTACTTCCTCGCGGTGCCGGACGGGCAACTCTGTCGTGGACAGTGCTGTGGGGGGAGGGCCAATTCCGATTGGCCTCTCCTCTCATGGCGTCTGTGACCACAGTGGCTAAACGGGGGCTCTGGACTGGTGCGAGGGTCTGGTAACCCCTACACCTTCAATTAATTACCAATAAACCACGACTCAAATATGTAACTAATAAGCGTGTGACGGAGGCCCCAGGGGGACAGGCATCTATGACGTCTCCTGGCCAAACCCCAATTGGCGGAGTCAGGAGATTGAATCTTTACCCTCGGGGCTCCTCTAGAAACAACGAAAAGCCACTTCGTGTGGCCACATGGAATGTTCGAACGCTCACTGCGGAGGAGAGGCTGCCACTCCTCTGTCGGGAGCTGGACCAGTACCGCATGAATCTCTGTGGCATTCAGGAGGTCCGGTGGACCGGTTCTGGCTCCTGTCACCATGAGGGGTGGACAGTCCTCTACTCGGGGCAGGAGACTGCCAAACAACAGGGTGTGGCTCTTCTTTTGAACAAAAGAATGAAGGGGGCGTGGGAGCGTGGCGGTGAGGTGTGGGAAGCTGTAAGCCCTAGGCTACTTTGGGCTCGCCTTCCCATCAACCGGAGGCGAGGAGTGGTGGTTGTGGTTACTTATGCCCCCACCGAAGACGAACATCCGTGAAGGGCTGCAGGCAAAGCCGATGAGTCAGATGCCTGACTCATCGGCCTCCTGCCACAGGTCCTGGCTAAAGTGACCTCTCGGGATAGAGTCATCTTGTTGGGTGACTTCAATGCCAATGATGCTGGCACCTGGTCTGGAGTGATTGGAGGGCATGGGCCAGATCAGCTCAATAACAACGTTAGGAGGCTGCTAGATTTTTGTGCAGCCCATGGGCTTGTAATTACCAACACGCTGTTCCGGCA